AAGATATATTTTTTGAGAATGAAAATATATGGAATCACGTCGGAAAACAGACGACATTTCGCAGGCTAAAAACCAAACACATTAAATATTGTCGAACACCGGGATAATCTGTCTCCTTCAACAGGAAATGAAGCTAGAGATACGAGTAGGACAAGAAGTGTCGACTCACCACGTCACTRGCTACGGAATAGCGGTTAAATTCAAGGCTTTCTACAGCCATCCATTTGACCGGCCGGTTTTCGTTGTCACATAAACAGCAATAGTCGCCTGGGAACAAGTCACGTGACAGGGCGCAGTCCGTTACCTTGACGTTTAACTCGTCATCGAGACTGAAGGGAAAGAGAAAAATTATGACTTTAGTARCACTATGATTGGGGTTCCTGTATGACACTGATTGTACAAAAGGGAAACTATGAAATTCATTGAAATGCTGTATCAATAAATGTACATCAATAGACCCCTTGAATTACTTCGTGATGCAGCTCAATTTGGAGGACATAACGATAGGTTTCCAATTCTCAGAGGATTAAAATTATTTTGTTTTGTCSTCCAAATTGAGCTGCTTTGACATCACATGCAAGGGGTCTATAGATTTAACTCCTTGTGGTCCAATGTCCCATTTCAGAAAAAAAAATTCACATTTACTCGAGAATAAGATTCCTTGTTTGAGTTGTATCCATATTCACGTGCCTTTTCATGCACAACTGTTAAACAAAGAAATGATACTAAAGAGAATAACACGTGATCTGAAATGGGAAAAGGTCGTTTGTATCATGGTATGTTAAAAACTAATTCTACTTCAATCCCTTACATACTTTGTCGGTGATCGGCGCTACTCTWATTCTCTACTGATACTTACAAACAATTTCTAGCAGCCAAGTCCTTATGTACAATTTTCCTACGAGCCAAGTACTGCATGCCYTTGGCTATTTGAATACCCATTTGGACAAGATCAGCCGTTGTTATCGACTAAAAATTAAGACCATTAAAAGGGGTATTAGTAAAGAAAAGACTTATTATAGGAATACGAATTCTGGCATCAAACAAGCAGAAGAAGTCCGCTACAGCCCTGGATATATTTGATAAGGAAATGAGAACGTTTCACRTACTATTTCATCACAATTCATGATGAGACTACCTGTAGGTAACGAAAACGAAACACCCCTCTATCCCCCTCACGGGCGATGTTACAGTATTGTATTTCGGGGGCGTGAAAGGAGTAAAATTGGAATTGAACTAACTTACCCAAGTATGCAACGGTCCCATAGCTTTTGCTTGAGATCTTAAGTTGTTTGTTTTGCTTTGGCGCCAGCTACAGTAAAGCGCAGTGTTTTATTTTGCGTAACTTTGGKTTTGCATAACCTTAAAATTGATTACGGATTTAGAGATTGGGTAAAGTGCGCACCATCGACTTCTTGCCAGCTGCAACAGGTCACCACCTGCACTGAAATTCGCCTTATAACTTTTAGCAAAGCGTTCTCTAAAGGAGCGCACACGATGTGGTGCATCGTGCGGTGTATCTTGAAAAGGATATCGTAACGT